TCCTGTCTAAGAATTAAGGATCAGTGTAGACTTCACTGACATTTCGCAGGGGGTGGGTGCTGAGAAAAGATTTACATAGTGTACTTTCCAGGGAACCACCTGAAAGTCTGCCGTAGTCATTTGCCATCTGAAGTCCGCTTTTTATGGGTGGCCACCAAAGGCCCCTTCTTCCTTTCCCATCAAATCATTTATCCTCAGAGCCTCGTTCACCCCACTGAAGAGCAGCTCCGCTCTGCCTGGAAACACGCCGATTCCACTAGCCTCCTAGCTCAGTGAGACTCGAGGCTCAGCACTTCACAGGACCTGGTCCCTCAGAAGTCTGCCTGGTAATCCCCCACAGTAATTAGAGCGTGTCCTTGGGATCTTTTAGAGTTGGAAAAGATAATAGTGAGAATTTTATAAAACTGATGAAAGACATTAAGCTTTTCTAGCTGTTCCTTAGTGGGAAAATTGGTATGAATTACTTAGTTTGCCCTTGCAGGAAGAAAAAATGTCCCCATAATTAGTCATAGACTGTTGCTTAAAAATTATGGAGTTAATACATAAGTAACCTATTTAACAATATTCTATATTATTTTAAACTATGGAACATTTTCATAAGCTCAAGAGAGTAGCCTACTGATTACATGAAGAGCAAAGTGAGATATTAGTGATAGAAGAAAGTAGAACTTAGAATGAGAATACATGTTTCTTTTATTATACATATATGATCATGCTAATGAATACTTTTTATAAAATAAAGTTTCATGTGTCATGAAATAAGTTTCTTTTGGAATCAAATTTTAACAAAGCATTAATACATCTGATTTTTTTACTATAATTTATTTTTATTAATGAAGTAGGCATGAACTAGGACTTACATCAAACAAAATCATTCTTTAATAAAAAAGTTCAGCATGATTGTCTAACCACTATGCTGTACACCTGAAACTAATACAAAATAATATTGACTGTAAACTGGAATTGAAAAAATTTAATTAAAAAATACAGAATTTTTAATACTTAAACTCATCTCCACCTCCTTTACAGATGGGTTTTACGTGTGTGTGTGTGTGTGTGTGTGTGTGTCTCTCTCCTTGGGACCTGTAAAAGTTGAACAGAGTTAGAAATAGTTGTGTTATCAAGAGTGGAAGAAGCCTGTGCTTTTTTTTTTTTTTTTTTTTTTTTTTTTAGGGCAAATAACATTTTTATAGGTTTAGTGAGTTTCAAAAACTATTTGCCATTTTGATACAGTTCCATGAAATTCTGAGCACAAATATATCTCATTGGACAGTTATAAAATTGGGTATGAGGTTTTGTACTTGAATATACCTTGACAAAGAACAAGTTAAGTTTTAGTTGAACCCTGGACAAAGTTATACTGTTGTCTTTGGCATTTGTACATTTGATTATTTGTGAAGATCTTACCTCAATAAAAGCCAGTCTCAAAACTGGTCATAGTTTCTTTAAAGCTTTTGTAATTGCATAGGCAGAAAAGAATTTAGATAGAAAAATTCATACATCTTATTATTTTATAAAGGAATTGTGGAAAATGAAGAACTACTCTGCTATAATTTAAGTGTGGCACAGAAAACTAGGGCAACATTTACTTTTAGAAATATCAAGTGTTATTCATTGTTTTAGAATTAATTACATAATTATCCAGCAGAACACAAAGATCCCAGGGTACCTTAATGGGAACACTACACTTACAAATAAGATAATAATTATTATCACCTACTATATTCGAAGTGCTTTATTAGCTGTAATTTTTAACTACCCACATCTCAGTGTGTAAATAAATATTATTAAGAATATGAGTCATTCTGTTACATTAGATAGCAAATGCAGCAGGACTCAGATCAGGATAGTTGATAGGATAGAAATGATTCCGAGTGTGTTTTCGCAGTGAAGGCCATAAGACCTGGCTGCCTTCCATTCACCTGCCTTTCCTTTTTGGGGAAAATTTGGCCTTTACTTAGATCCCATAGTTACAGTATTGCCCCATCCCCAGTGGTCAACAAGATATCGATACTGAGACTTCTTATGAAGAGCCTTCCTGGTGCTGTGAGACCATGATATCCTACCAAAAGATTGGTCATCAGTGCACCCTTTGGATTTATGTATGACCAAAAGGGGGAACTATGGATGGGAAAAAAAGGGTTCTATGGAAAGTAACCTCACAGGGTAATGTGATCATTATATTCCTAACTGGGCAGGTCATGGTGCGTAGTTGTGTCCCAGGCCTACCTGTCCAATGCCCTTGTGTATCTAGGGTAATACTTTTGAAATACCAGAAATAATACACCTCAAAGAGGGTATTAACTCTCAAGAGAGCACATGACCTTGTTAACTATTCTGTAATTGAAACCCTGCCTTGCTTTCTCCAATCTTCCTTAATTTCAAATGCATAAAAGAAGCTACAAGATCTCCGCAGCATTTGAGATCTTGTTCCCCGACATATGTCATCAGTTTGGCTAAATAAACTCTTGTAGCCCAGTTGGTGTTGCTCAGTGGTTGAGTGTTGACCCATGCACCAGGAGGTCACTGGTTTGATTCCCGGTCAGGGCTTGTGCCCAGGTTGTGGACCTGATTCCCAGTGGGGGGCATGCAGAAGGCGACCAGTTGATGTTCTCTCTCATTGATTTTTCTTTTTTTCTCTCTCTCTCCTTTCCTCTCTCTCTAAAATCAGTAAAGGAAAAAAAAAATTTAAAAATATTTAAATAAACTCTTGTAAAGATTCTCAAAACAAACAAACAAAAACAACACCTTTTTACCATTTAGAAATAAGAAAACTAAGTCAGAGAAATTGATTTGAATGATAAATTAGGCATTATAATCTTGAATCATTTGAAGAGGCAGATATTGATTTATTGATTTATTAATGTTTTCAGTGGTTTTGAGAGAGAGGAAGGGAGAGAGAGATAGTAACATTGATGTGAGAAAGAAACATCCATCGGCCACCTCCTGCACACCCCCTACTGGGAATCCAGCCGGCAACCTGGGCAGGTGCCTCAATCTGCTGCGCCACACTAGCCGGACAAAGAGGCAGGCATTTAACAGGAACAACAGATGTTGGTAGCGAATAAAAATAGCTCTTGTGACTATTTATACATTACTAGGTAGTAATTAATTGAAAATACCACCTTTCTTCCAAGCCGAGTGATCCACGGAATTTTAAATTTTTTGAAAGAATTGCATGGTATCCTTGAGACTATTCAGAATGCCTACGATGTGATAAAGCTTACTTTAGAGTCACCATTCCAGACTCACTGGACAGAAAAAATATGTGAATATTGCCCATTTGGGCAGAACCTCCGCTACAAGGAAGCCAGTCAACTGAACTTCATTTGGGGAGTTAAGTAAGACAAATAGTGACTTTGTGATGATCTGAAAGGGCTCTACTTCAGGGCCATTTGAGCAAAAGAATGAACACATTCTAACCTGATTCTGCTTTGGAATGGTTGGAGGTAGACAGAAAAAAAATTGCTTTGAGGTTTCATCACAGAAATATTGCGGATGTGTGGAGATCGAAAAGGCAGACATTTCGGTTTGCCACATATTTGTGTCATTGAATTTATTTTATATGGTGAGGGTCTCTGGGCTGAAGGCATCCATTCTCTGAGATTACTGATGCACATATATAAGCAAGTTCTGAATTCATGTGGGGAGTACAGTTTAATTGCAAGGTATAACATATTTGTCTTGAGTACAGTTTGCTCCCAAAGTTGGAATCATTTACTACTGTATGATGAAGATGCTCCATCTTTCTGACAGACTGTTGGAAAAAGTTCTCCTCTGTTTCACATGCCCCTCTAGTTGAAGGCTAGGGATTTGTGGACAGCATGGGAATAATTGCTCATTACCCAGATATCCTTGAGATAGTGAAACCCGAGCTTCCATTTGAATTAAACTTATACTCAACTGGCAGTAATTTGTTCTTAGACAGTACAGTATCCAAAGGTACTGGTTCTTGTACATAAGAATCAGAGAAATAAAAGAGAATACCATAAAAGAACCAACCTTCACACTAGATACACTGGCCAACAGACCATCACATCTAATTCTAAACTATCCATGAACAGAAACATGGCTTAAAACATTTTCTGAATTTATACCTAATTAAAAATAATTATTTAAATTTAGTTGTTAGAGTAAATGTACTTAAAAGTCAAACTTCTCACATCACTCATTTAAGTACAGTATTTTTTATCATCCAATTTTGAACGGGAGCAAGTACACTTAAGGTACATATGTACGAATGTGATGTTTTTGCATTTTTAAGCATAGAGAGAAGGCATAGGATTTTATAAAGACTGTGATATAGGGGGGCCCTTTACAATTTTATTCAATTTTTTCTGTTATTTGTTTTTGTTTTTGTTATAAATGTGCTTTGAAAAGTCTAATTATAAATGTATATAAAAAATATATTGTATATACCTATATACAGGCACATAGGCTATGCAGTTGTAGGGAAAATTGTTAACTTTCCATAGAACTGAAAAAACAAATGCTTTTCTGTTGTCACCCCAACACCCTCTTTCATGGGCAGCTACCATTCTTCCCCCTTGGCCGTTCCTGGCTATTGTAACGTTGGTACACTCCTTCACCAGTTTCATGGTGAATGGATTCTTGCTTTTTCCTTCCTATTCCCTACTTTTCTTCCTTCTCTGAATACATTTCACAGATGACCGTCTTCCAAAATAACAACATCAATTAATTTTTTAACTTAAAAAAAATCATACTTAGCCCTGAGTCTGCCCTCTCCATTGATGTGCAGTGTGGGCAGAGGCTGTGCAGGGACTGATAAGCCCCGTTTGTGAAGCCTCTTTAGCAGGAGGCCAGGCGCTCACTGCTCTCGCAAGGGGCTGTTGACCCACCAGCCCTGACACAGCTCTGCTTCTGTGCCTGTGATGGGCTGTTGTCCTTGTTGTTTGTTTGTGAATAGACAACAGCTTTTCCCTTGAAGGCTCCCTCAGTTGACTCATGGTTCTTCACCACAGTCCTTTCCCCTTTTGCAGACTCAGATGATCTCCGTGGGGACCCTGCACTCAGCCTCCAAAGTGCTCCTGCCTCCCAGGATGCTCGTAATTCAACAGTAGATGCTGGTGGCCTGGAGAGCATCACCCAGTGTCCCCAGCAGCTTCCTCAGATGATGGCTGCAGGTAAATGGAGGTGGCCAGCCCAGGACACAAGGCGTTCTGAGTTTTGAGTGTAAAAGCTTGCCTAGTCATGAAAATATGCATTGAACCCGGAGCCCGGGATCCTTAAAGAAATCAGGCTGTGGGACAAGTGAACATCAAGTCAAATGTGACATATTTTGTGGTGTGTATGTGTGTGTGTGTTTCTTTTTTTTTTTTTTAGCTCTGTGCTGCTTGTTTTTAATATCATTTATTTGTTTATTTTGTTTTGATAAAAGCTGTGCTTATGAGAAGTATTTTGGAAAAGTCACTTTAGGCAGACACCTGCATTTTCTTAATGCAGTGCTGTGGGGAGGAGATCTGTTACAAGGTAACACATAATAAATCCAGGCAGGCCTCGTTTCATGACTTGACACCTATTCCAGAGATTCTGTGTGTAAAAAGGTGTGCCTGCTCCCACATTGTACTCAGAAACAGGTGAATTTGTATTCACCATCTACCAAGCCAATCGACTTGTTTTACCAAGAGAGTATTCCTGCTCTGCCTCCCAACCTTGGAACTTAACTAATGTTGTTTCACGAGGGGAAGGAAGCGATTCTTCAATGTTTTCCAGAAGTACTTCCTTAATGGCATTCTGTGTATAATATAAACTACATGTCATTAAGCTTCCTCCCAGAATGTATTCGGAAACTCTTTATATTTATGTCTGAAGAAAACATTGCTGTAGATTCTGTGCTTTATTTTTCTGTGGTTTGGGAATATGCTAAATGAAACCTCACATCTCTAGAAATGTGATTTTCTTTAAAACAAACACCCTTGGCTGTCGACTCTAAGTCATTGTTTGTTTTTCCCGCAGCCGCGGATGGTTTGGGGAGCATAGCGATAGACACAACTCAGCTCAACATGTCCGTGACGGATCCCTCAGCCTGGGCCACCGCCATGAATAATTTGGGCATGGTTCCCGTGGGGTTGCCTGGACAGCAGCTTGTGTCTGGTAAGCTTTCTCCTGGGTTTGCAGCAGCAGTGCCAAAGGGTGGAGGTGCCAGGTGCCCAGTCATCTCTCTGCACGCAAGTGTTGAGCGTGGTCTGTGAGTTATGACTGGGGCATGTTTGGCAGGTTGTACTTGAGATTCCTTTCCTTGTCACCTTGCTCTTCTGCTTCATAGCTGTTCTCAGAAAAAAGGCCGTGTGCCATATCTGCCACCTGCAGCCCTGCAGTGTCCATTTCACATTCCAAGTTGGTAAACAGAGCCCTGATACTGGCTTTCCAGTGGGCAGAACTCTCACGCGCCTGTGCCGTTGGATTCCAGTCTCCTCTGTGACACAGATGGATACTTGCTGTTGGTGCTCTTGATAATGTGCTCATTTTAGATTCTTTTCTCTTTTTGCTGTTCTGATTGGGTATTTTTTGCTTCCTTGTATTCCAAATAGATGATTTGATTCTCGGCTTCACCTGCTCTGCTGTTGATTCCCTGTAAATTATTCTTTATTTCAGTTAGTGTATCCTTCATTTTGGACCGGTCCTTTTTTATGCTGTTGAGGTCCTTACTAAGTTCCTTTGAGCATCTTATAACCAATGTTTTGAACTCTGAATCTAATATATTGCTTGTCTACATTTTGTGTAGTTCTTTTCCTGGAGTTTTGTTCTGTTCTTTCATTTGGGACATGTTTTGTTGTCTCATCATTTTGGTCGCCTCCCTGTCTTTGTTTCTGTGTGTTAGGTAGAGCTACTACATCTCCTAGGTTTGGTAGTGTGGCCTAATGTAGTAGGTTGTAGCACAGCTTCCCTAATAACCCAGCTGGGCACTCAAGGGGCACCCCTACCCCCATGTGGGCTCTGCACCCTTCTGTTGTAATTGAGTCTTGATTGCTGTTGGCATGTCAGTGGGAGGGATTTATCCAGGTTTATCGGCTGTAAGGACTGGCTGTGCCCACTGACCCACAGTAGTCTCGGACTACTGTGGAGGATCAGCTGTGCAGGGGCCCACCACACAGCAGAACTTAACTTCAGCAGGGTTCTAGTGCCCACTGAGTCCACCCCTTAAGTGTGAAACCTGTGGAGGTGGTTGGGTGATGGTGCTTCAATGTGGTCTGGAACTGTCCACTGGCTCTGGGCTTCCCAGGAGGTACAAGCCAAGGTCAGCCACCACCTGTGTTCTGCCTGGGGCCACCAGGCATAAGCTACAAAGCAATTTGCGGATGGCTGCTTCCTGCGCTGGATTTGGAGGTGCCCAGGTGAGGCCAAGCTGTGAACCAAGGCTGGCTGCGGCTAGTGCTGGGCCTAGAGTCACTTACCCAGAGTTATGGGGCTTGCTGAGGCCAGGTGTTGCTTGTTTGAGAGGTTGGAGGAAAAACTGAAGCATGAGCCAAGGGAAGCCATTTCTATGGTAAAGTCACTGGAAACAGCTTGGGTGGACCCAAAAGTTGGATGGTGGAGGATCTCAGGGAATCACCAGGGCAGGGCAAACAGTGTGAGCCAGGTACTGGAGTCCCAGATATGGCACCTGCGTGCCAGCACTTTAGGGGAAGGGACAATGGCTTCTGCCAGCACTTGTGTCTGGGAGAAAGCTACCCCTCCAGCTCTCTCCCGGACGAGCAGTGATTCAGTTCCTCCCCGTATGTCTCTAGGGCCTTTCAAGCAGCTGCCCCAACACTGGGGCTCAAAGCAAGTGAATCCAAGTAAGTCAGTACATGGGCCCTTTTTTTTTATCCTCACCCGAGGACATTTTTTTAATTTTTTGTTCAGATAGAGTGGGAAGGAGAGAGAGAGAGAGAGAAACATCGACACGAAAGATACACACCGAGTGGTTGCCACCCACATGACCCAACCAGGGCCGGGGACAAACTGCAACTGAGGTGCATGCCCTTAGCGGGAACTGAACCCAGGTCTCTCTGGACCACTGGCCGACACTCTAACTGCTGAGTCAAACTGGCCAGGGCCAATGCATGGGCCCTTTAAGAGGAGCTGCCTGGGACTCTAGAGCTCTCTCTCCCCCTCAACCTTGATCCCTGCTGGGTTTTACAACCGGAAGTTATGGGGACTTCTCTTCTTGGTGCTGGAACCCTGAGCTGGGGGTCTGGTATGAGGCCGGGACCCCTCACTCCTCAGGAAGGACCTTCACAGCCAAGGTGTCCTCCTGATTTTTATTCACCACACATGGGTGTGGGACCAGCCCATCCACGCCTCTGCCCCTCCTACCAGTCCTGACGTGGCTTTTTCCTTAATTCTGTGGTTGTAGGACTTCCATTCAGCTTGATTTCAGGTGGCTCTGAATGATGGTTGTGTTGTAGTTTAGTTGTAATTTTGATGTGGTTAAGGGAGGAGGTGATACCACGTTTACTACGTTGCCATCTTGACCGGAAGTCAGTGTTCTCATTTTAAAAACAGGGAAGCAAAGGACCAACATTGAAGTGGCAGACTGGAACTCCAGCTCAGCTAACACTCGGCTCCACCTTTTCTTTGCACCACACTTTGGAATCATAATACAATGAATTCAACAGGGAAAATGTGTAGAAATGTTACAAAATAGAGGTTCTCATTGAATTTAATACATGTTTATTGAGATTTGTCATGTGCCCTCTAACAAGAGTTTTGGGAAATAAAATACATACATATATAAGTGTCCTTGAGGAGCACATCTCCCTAAGTTGAAAAACACAGCAACAACAACAAAAACCAGCATAAAAATAATGTGTAGAATTAGTTATTAAGTGGTGATTCAGGCTAGTCATGTAGTCATTTCCAGAAAGATCGGGGAGGTGGGACTTGAGCTGTCTGGAAAGATACACAGGATTTGTATCTCATTCGTTCGTTTGTTCGTTCATTCATTCAATACATATTTATTGAGACAGTGTCCTAGTGCAGGGACTCCAGCAGTAAACAAAACAGGCACCATCCTTCCAGACTGTACAATGAAAAGTGACAGTCAAGTGTAATACTAAGTTCCATATCCACAGGCCTGTGTACTTGGTGTTGAATTGACCAGGCATTTAGCTTTTATTTGTTGTTGTCAATTTTGGCCATAGAAGTGAAAGTCTAAAAGAGCTATAGTAATTGATATAGAATTGGTGTGCATGTGTGCACCTGTATGCATACACATATGTATACACACATATACACATATACACATATATGTATATACATATATAACATTCTTTTTAAATATAACAAGAAGGAACATGAGAGAGGACAGGGGATGAGAGTGAGAGACAGAAAAAGGAAAGTCAAAGACTAGGTTATAAAGATTGTACTTATGATATTTATAAAATTCTCTGGAATGTTTTAAATTCATACAATTGAAGATCAGTCTGCTGCAGGATGTATGGGTGTGCACACAGACATTTTCCATGGTTGGAACATGTGTTCATTCAGACCCCTTTTTCCTAAAGCTAATCTAGACAGATACTAGCTTCTAAAAACTTGAGAGTAAAGATTTGTAATTTTCTGCCCACATTTTCTATCAACATAATTGAAATATTCATATAGCAGAAATTACTTTACTTTTGTCTCTACCCTCCCCCTTCTCTCAGAAAATGTTGTGTGCCACACCTCAGTAATTCATTACTTTTTCTTATTATTTTGAGTCTTCTGACATTTTAACCATGACCAATTTATGATTTTTCTCAGCAACTTACCACGTAAAGAATTACAGCCCTGCTCGTTGTAGAGATTTACCATATCTGTCCTGAATTACGTTCTCCAGCTCCTACATTAGCCAGACTGCCTTTCAGGGTCTTCCCAGGAATCCCGTCTCCATTGCCCAGCTGTGCCAGCAGAACCGCGCTGTGGTTGTTGTCAGGGTCCTGAGCAGCCGGGTGTGCTGGTCTTAGGGGCGGGCTCTGCTTTATTTCGTTAGTGTTCATGTCTTTTCTTACAGTACTTTTTCTGTACAAATATTTTAGTGATATTAGATATAAGATTTTCTATATGCATGTTTAACACCTTATTCTCAATTGTTTTTCCATTTTATAGTTTTATATTTAAAAGTTATAAAACTCCATTGAATAAATATTTTCTAGTTTATTTCATTATTCTAGTTTATATTTAGGCTGTTTCCATGTTTCCCCTCTTACAAACCAAGTTTCTTTGGAAAACATAATCTCTTCAAGCATATAAAAAACATTTCACCTTTTCTTTTTCTTTCTTTTTTTTTTTTAATCCTCACCCGAGGATATTTTTCCATTTATCTTCAGATAGAGTGGGAGGGGGAGAGAGAGAGAGCGACATCCATGTGAGAGAGACACGTCGACTGGCTGCCTCCAGCACGACCCCAACCAGGGCCAGGGATCAACCATAACCAAAGTACGTGCCCTTGACCAGAATCGAACCCGCGACTCTTTGGTCCACGGGCCGAGTCTCTTAACTGCTGAGTAAAACAGGCCAGGGCCATTTCCCTTTTTCTGTAAAATGATGATTGTATCTCTTTCATGGGACTATTGTGAGATTTAAATAAGATAGTTTACATAAAATACAGCCATTTGTTTCTCTCCAGCATAGCCACAGAATGTCGCTTCTCCTCCAGTCTCCTGCCCGCCACCTCTGGAATTCTTCACTGTGGGCATAGAATGTTGGAACCAGTCTTTAATGTCTCAGAAGGGATTTAAAGATTATTTAGTGTAACCTTCCTTCCAAGAAACCTCCTCTAAAACATCTCTGACAGGATTATGGAGAGGCTGGATTTTATGAGCACTTGGCTTTCTCCCAAAGTTGCTGATATGTCTAAATGACCAACTACTCTTCCCATATTAGTTAAAATTAAACTGACACTAAATCCTATTCCTTAATACTTCTTCTGCTTAATAAAATTATTAGCAAAGCAAGTTGTATAGTTTCCATATTCTCTGATTTTTAGCGAAGGGATTTTCCAGGAAATCAGATCACTTAGTACATGCTTTTCTCAGCTGTGATTGTAAACTCCCACAATTATGCCTCTTCCATTTTCCTCCTACTTCATCATCCGGATATTCCCCTCCACAGTCCCACCCCACTTCAGG